TTGCCCTTTGGCTTCGCATCGAAGCCTAGTCCGAGCGCACCTTGGGCCCGGGGGCTACTGTCGATGTTCTGGGAACGGGGGTACCTAGACTTGCCTGCCTGCGGCCCACGGCGTGGCTCCATCGGCTGCCTGGTACGGCCCAGCTTCGACATCAACAACTCAAGACCCTCGCGAGGGGCCAAGCCTCGCGAGGCGGACGACACCAAGACCTCCAAAAGGATCAGCCTCCTCAGGCTGGCTCCCAAGGAGCGGAGATTTCCAAGCAAGGCTCACCTCGCGAGGTTCAGATGATGCGAGCCATGACGACCAAGGCCAAGCGGGCGCCAACGGGCGCCAGCGGGCGCAGTGTACCAGTTTCCTCTTTGGTGCTAAGGAGGCAAGCGCAGGCGCGGAGTCCCGAGGGATCAGCTAAAGGTTTCCATTCCCGTGCAACAAGACCAAGACCGCCTGGACGGCAGGACAGAGGTCGTCGCCGAGCCCACCACGACGTCACGACCAGAGGCTTTTGCATGCGAAGACTACTTTCGTCAGGATAAGATGTACTAGTTGTCTCCCTTCAAATTTGGCCGTTGTGGGATCCCTTCCCGCCTTCATTTGGGAAGAGCACCAAGGCCACTATAAATAGGACCTAGCCACCAACATGGGGGGAGAGCGGATCATTTTCATTCCACCCACGCCAGCTCACTCGAGCTCAAGAACACACCTCCTGAGGTTGTTCTCCACTATACTAGTTCATCCTCGGCCCCTCGAGGCCAATCCACCACAAAGCAAGAGTAGGGTTTTACACTGCAAGGTGGCCCGAACCTGGGTAACCTGTTGTGTCCCATTTCCTTTGAGTTCGACGAGCTAGGCTGTGAGATTAGCGAGTAGGCAGACTGGGGAGGTTGAGATCTCCACACGCACCCCAAAGTTCGAACCTCTCAAGGGTTTGCGGAACCCGAAATCCGACAAGTACTACTCCACAACGGGATTGAAGCACGACATCGCCAAGGCTACCTCCCTCAAGTACAAGTTCCTCGAAGACCTATTCGATGGTGCTATCAAGGCGGGAAGACACATCAAGAAGGCCAAGGCCACTTGCGCCCATGCACACTTTAGGGCGACCAACACCCAACAATACGAGCACTAGGATACTTCCATCAAAATGTCAAAGCTTAACGCGACGATATTCCAAGATGACGCTTTGAAGATCAATGTCCCCGTATGTGGATTGCCTAGCCCTTCCCATCAGTTCGGACTTTTGGTTGCTTTGGCCAGTGCATGAAGCTTAACATGGTATTAGGGCCTAAGGTCTTGAGTTCAAGTCCTGGCTTTCGCAGTTTATCCAAACTTTGTTGTTCCCCCTTTGTGTCCACGTATAGGCCTCTTGAACCATACCTCTTGAGTTTATCCACGTGTTGACTTCCCGCGTCATACGTGGGAGGGGGTGTTGAGGTGTATATGTGGATTACCTAGCCCTTTCCATCAGTTCGGACTTTTGGTTGTGTTGGCTAGTGCATGAAGCTTAACAATCATGATAACAAAAATGCCAAGTCGAGCACAACTCTTTTTGGAGAAGTGGGCACGGTGAGGACGACAATGAAGCCAATCAAGGAGCATTCTTTGGAAACAAGTGACAAGGTGGCAAGCAAGGAACAAGCTTCCACCCATGGAGGCGAATATGGTGAGACACCCGAGCATGGGAATTTCCCTTCTGTTATGGATGCGAGTGATGATGAGCCACATCTTACAGCCTTCATCTTTGGCGACATGGTTGAGCATGGGGTTGTCCCTTCAACAAAGGCAACACATGATAATGACTACGGAGACATTTGCGCCCATATTGAGAGAGTGAGTGATCACCACTAACCACATATATGACGTGATGCCCCACTTCCCATGTGAGGAGAGCAACCACCACCACTTGAGTGACTCCACCAAATGAGCACTGAGATCATCTACTCTGACGGAGTGAGTGAACCACCACAAGAGTTGAGTGACATAGTTGATAGGTCATGTGGGGCCATTTACAACTCTTAACAACTTAATCTCTACCTCTTCGGTGTCTTCTCATTTGGTGCTAGGTCTCATGCATGAAGAGCACCAATCCTCGACAAGTTCGTCCCTCGAATGGACAAGATGATGACCATGGCACAAGAAGATGAAGTCCCCAAATGGTTCCATAAAGATGAAGATGGCCACAAGATGGTCCTTTCCACCACTCCTACACCACGTGAGTAGAACTACAAATGTAACAATATAGGTGATGTTCTTGTCCCACTAGTGGATGTTGTTGGATAATGAGCAACTAGTATTCACTGAGGGCCAAAGGCCAATACATATACATGTGTGGTAAAGTGCAGAAAACCCCTTATACAATGGGGATATACACAAAGGGGACTATACACATCTACACTAGTGGACGTTGTTCGACAAGTTCTCACGACGTTCGTCTGCACGGCCCTCACATGGTTATTGGGTATTGTCCATTCCATACCTTGTGCCCATATTACCATATCCACTTTGCATGCTTTGAGCACTTCTATTCCGATGACATGCCATTCTGACCCATGTCTTGCATTAAACATGCTCCATACTTCTTCCACAGTTCCACTTGTATGTTTATTTGTAAGCATGGTTGAAGTGTGTTGATAATGTCGAGAGGTCAGGGTAGAGCAAACTTGACATGGGAGGAGTACGTAAAGAGAGATTTGAAGGACTGGAATATCACCAACTAGCCATGGACTAGGGTGCACGAAAGTTAGCTATCCATGTGCCAGAACCATGACTTGGTTTCGAGCTCATGGGTTTCAACTCTAGCCTACCCCAACTAGTTTGGGACTAAAAGGCTTTATTGTTGTTGTACCATTTTTCATACAAACCATTAATGATGCTTCTTGTGGTGGGGGAGTCATGATGACACAATGTTCTTTACATAGGACTTCTCACCAACACAATGATACTTTGGACATGCTTTGTTTTGACCATTTTGATTATGCTTACTTTGTTGCATCAAACTTGTTTCCTTGTTCTTTCCATATGTTCGATCACAACAATGCCCATGCTTTGCACATGCCATGCCATAATTGTTGTCAAAATTCCCCCTTTGTTGCCTCTACCATGTTGAACAATTGCTCTTTTCTGTGTGTAGAGTGCAACAATGTTTTTATTGTTGAACATGAGAATGCCCCCATAGCTTTCTCACATGATTAGGAGATTTTGATCCATCCCATGTAAAGCATGTTCCTTGTCCTTCTTTGCTCAATATGCATGATGCACATATTGCCATGACTTGTACATGCATACACAATGCATTAATGCACATGTTTTGTACTAACAGTGATATGCAAGACAAGCATTGCATCATGATGGATGATGCATTTGTCCACCATGCAAACACACTCTTTGATTTGTCTTGTGCATGTGTAGGCCTCAAGTACATGGTGAGTGTCCCATACCACAATGTCGAGTCATCTTTTTCAGATGGTGATGTGGATTTCGATCCGAGGTCGAATCTAGTCGAATCATTTTCAAGCGGGGGAAGATGATGTGGAGCATCCTACTGACATCACCATGGCAAGTGCCCCATCGTTAAGAGACATGCGCATCATACACTTCATATATGCAGAGGTGAAATTCTCTTATGGGTGTCTACTTGGTTCTCCCGCGGATGATATAGTACTTGGCACTCCTACCATGTGCACCTTTCGGTTTGTGTCGAACGTCACACCATGGAGAAGGTCAAGCACAAAAGAACGCCTACACCATCTAAGAGGGGAACTTGGAAGCATAGAAGCAACCATGAAGACGAAGGGGAGCTTCTGGAAGCATCGACAAGCAAGTCCAAGGGAAGACTATTGCAAGTTCTCGACACCCCAGAGATCCGAGCCTTCAAACCATAGGAGCTCCGGGCCTACAATGGCTCCCTCTCTAGGCACCCCGGACCCCCCCCCCCCTTGACTTCCGTCGGAGGAGTATCAAGACCTCTACATGTGGAGAAGACTCCATGGAATTCAAGCACTCTTTGTCTTAGGACTTGGGGAAGAACCTTATAGTGCCTCCTCTCTCTCCCTTGTGGATGATTTGGATCAAGGATTTATCCATGTGCATCTTGTTTTGCAACTTGTGTGTTGATTTGTGCTAGTTTCCTTTGTGACTCCTCCCCTTTTTTTTTCCTTCGCAATCTTCCTCAAATTCACCTCCAATTCGTGAAGATCGGGCCAACCCCATGGTTTGCCCCGTATCTAGGGAGGGAAACTTGAAGGAAATATTGGTGCGACAAGAAGCTCCAGTGTGTTGTCCTGGCAGATGACGAGCAGAAGCGCTTGCGTTTCTTCGAGCTTTGTTGCAGACGGAGTGCAGTCTTCGCAGGGAAGACTGAGAGATAGAAGGATACATGGTCTTCAGTTAAAGCATGTGCGGGAACCCCTCCTAGGCCAATGTGCAAAGCCTAGCAACACTGCTTATCAACCGCCAACCCCGCATTGCCACTTCTACACCAGCACCAACACGGAAACACCGATGCCTCTCTGCATCAACGCCACTTGCCTTAATGCCACTTGACTCTGCTCACCCGCGGAAGCACCATCTCCTCCCCTTCCAAGCAGCTCCATAGTAGGAGCAAGGCCGCCTAGGCCAAAGAGGAGAAGCAAAGTCTCTGCCCAAATCCTAGCGAGGGCTTAATGCCTCTCTTTTTTTAACCTTGCAAATCCTATAGTCATGTTTTAGAACTGATAAACTCCATAGCTTGCGGGATCAAGCATTCAAGTCCCAAAGAGACTTTTATGTACAATTCCCCAAGTGTCTTGCAATACAACGAGAAATGATGCACTAACCATAAAACTACAGTCAAATTATCTAACAGTATTTAACAAAGGAATGTAAACCTGAAAGCTTCGAAAATGGAATGTATGGACAAATACTTAATGAGCATATACGAGGATATCTTACACTGAGATGAAAACAGAACTGTTTTGCATCAATGAGCTATACAGAGAGTTGGAGTGGATTATCAACTATACCTGCTTTCCCCATTGTAGTGCATTGTCAACCAAGTAAGAGTACTCCAGATCCTCAAAACATTTTTGCAAAGAAGACAAAGGCTCATTGAAATAAACAGGGAGACAAACACCGGAGAGATCTTTCCCTATATTTTCTTTAATTATTGACCATAATCCTATTGGTTTCTCTTTCTCCTTTGGCTCAGGTAACTTATCTCGACGCTCAACAATGGGATATTTGGTAAACTTGGCAGTATACGATCTGGAGTCTCCAATAGATTCTAATGCATTGCAGCCATTTGTCACAAGTTCCCTCCTTCGAGAAGCACTTCGTAAAGATTCTACAGACAAAAAATCTCTTGTATCAAAGTATGTCACTTCGTCTTCATCAGATTCAGCATCTGCAACTTGACTTGCAGTGTCCGGATCAGATTCGCTTGCACTCCCGCCTGATAGAACTGAATAAAAATCTGCACATTCAACAATGCAGTAAAGAATTAACTGAAAGCGTAAGGGACAGCACTACATAAATTTAGCACTCGAAGAAGATTAGAATGTGTCGCTTGCCAACAGAGAATATCATGTTTCAATACTAACGTGAACACTAGTAATATGAACAAGCTGCTAAAAGTGTAAGAAGATTATATCTCTAAAGCAGTATGAATGCATAAGGTGTACTAGCTATAATATGCAGTGCAGGTGGGTGGTAGGATGACTCAACTTGTTAGGACTGAAAGGATAGAATGCCAGGTTAGAAAGACAAAGAAAAAGTGGGATCACAAGCAAGATATGGTAGGATGAAGATGAAACTACTGACCACTGTATCTGCCATTAACATAGCCATGTGCTTCCCTCTCTTTAGTTTCATGCACAACCGTTCTCTCCAGCTCAACTTTCTCTGTCTACCAAAAGAACTGAACCATCTTAGTCCTTCAGATCATGTTTAAAAAGTTGTCATTTCAGACTGAAAAAAAAAACTCAAGTTACAGAACAGAAGAATTTTATGGCAGCTAGCAACAATGTACAGCTTATATAATTGAAGTGTGCTCTATGCATCTACCACTAATCCATACTTCCATAACACGGGCAGTTATTTTAGTTGCGGCCATAAATGATGTCATATGCTGTCAATTGTCAACCTTTGTCCAAATATATGAATAAAAATCAATTAACAACGACTGGTTCTCAAATGAATGAATAAAATTTAAATGAATCTCACACTTATCACAGGATTTTATAACCATCGACAGTTTATATCCCAATGTTCACCAAAATGTCTCAGACTTACACACAAACATTACATGCACAAAATGTCCATGCATACAGAGTACTATCCTGTCTCAAGAAAAGTAGAAATGCTCGTCTACAAGGTTACAATTATGCAACAATCAGAACGAAACTAGTGGTGGTGATGGTATACAAGAAGCAATTAAGACAAAAAGGAAATGAAAATCCCTGCTAGTATTCAGTTCATCACTAATATGTGATGTGAAGAACCAAATGCTACTGTGTGCTAAAATAATAAAATACCTTTAATATTACCAGGATTCTGGAAAGTGCATTATGTAAGTATGGTAAACGCAATAAAAAGTACAGAACATTGTCAAGTAAACAAAACTAGAAATAGAAAGTTACCTCAAGCTGACGGAGCCGGTCTACTAAAACAGAGTGCTGCTGCTGCTGAGACTTTATCTGACTGTGCAGTTCCAACAGCTCAGTCATCATAATAGACTCGCATTCATTGACCACTGTTTCATTCAGTCCCTCATGTAGCAGACGCATCCTCAGCTTCTCAGTGGACAGCATAATATCAGCCACGGGAGCAAAATCATTGGTCATTAGCGACCTCGGAAACCGATCCTTTGCCACCAACAAAGCCTCTAGCCATGCATTCCTGTCCTCCTCAGTTTCACACCTCAAGTGTAATGTCTTAGTTCCACTGAATATATACAACCTCTTATCATCCGACCTGCTTGCACGGATAGACGAAACCTGAACACCAGAGCAGGAATTTTTTTACTGTTAAGCAATGCTGGTCTTGTTCTTCCCTCTAGCATTCTGTCAAAGCATTCGTATAACCCCATAATAATGGTAAATTTCAGCACTAAACTAAATTCTTTGCAAACAAAATCATTGATAGCCGTAAACACATCTAGCCCAGTAATAAGAATACAATATTCCTTCGGCCAATCATTACCCGAGCAATGGTACTTCAACAATCTAACTGGTACTTCAACAATCTAACTTCCTAATGGCGCAACCCCAGGTGTGAACAAACCCAATCTAGCGCTGCCAAACACAAGTGTAACGTACCTTGAGGTGTATATCCCCGAAGGGCTTCCACTGCTTCCCAGCAGCTGCAGCGTCCTCCCGCGCCCGCCGTAGCGCGTCACCTTCCCCGATCACCCTTGCCGCCGCTGTCGACGCCGACGATTCACCGCTTTCCCCTCCGCCGTCGCGGAGCTTGTAGTAGGAGAGGACCCCGTCCTCGAGCACGAACCACCTCGACCGCCACCCCTTCCCGTAGTTCACCCACTTGTGCAGCACCCCCGAAACAACAGGGGGCGTGGGCTGAGGCGGAGCCGCCTCTGGCGTTGCAGATAGTGTCGCGGCTGCGACACTGCGGGGTTGGTGGTGGTGGTGGTGGTCCGCGGCGTAGTCGACCGATACGGGCGCGATGCAGCAAAGCGGATTCATGGGGAAGCCAGACCCAGCCGCCGCGATGTGGTGGATCGGTCGCTCAGGAGGATCTTCTGCCGGCGGCTAGGGTTTGCGAGGCCATGGAAACCGTAGTTGCATTCCCGCGAGAGTGGGAGTGGTACTAGCCAGTAGCCAGCGGTGGTGGTGGACTGTGGTAACGATGTGAAGTGCTGTTTTGATGGCGAAGGTGGCCGCGGTAATATAACATGTTTCCAAACTTGAAACAAAATCACATTATTTATTTATATATAATAGGAAAAAAGTTACGGAAATGCTAAAAATCGACATCAGATTTTTAGGCATGGCAACTCAAACGTTTATCATGTCAACTTATATCGACGTGAGGATGAAAAAATTAGTTGACGATCACGGCAATTTTCTAGCAAAAGATATAAACTAAAACGGATTTGTCATCCTCGTCAACTAAATTTGTCACCCTCAACAAACATAATTTGCCATGAAAATATTTGATTTGCCATAACTAAAATCTAACGTTCGCTGGATGTTTGGATCCAAAAACTATTTGCCAAACATTTCAAATCTTGTAATAGATCGAACCCGCGATGCGTCTGGCTGTGGCTTGGTTAAGCATTCAGCTCTAGTAGTTGGTTGTTGGATCGAAGACAATCCAACCATTTGGGTGTTGAAACTAAGGCAGATGATCTTCCTATTAGGTTCTCTTGGCGGTTTGCTTTATCTATAAAGCGGGGCGAAAGCCTTTTTCGGTATTAGGTTAGGTCTTGATTTTATGTATCAAACTGAAAAGTGATGGTCGAACCGGGGCCTAGGTTTTTTTTATATGCAAGAGTTTGGTGTGGTTATGGATTGCATTAGGGACCTTTAGATCCAGTGGTTATATTTCCGGAAGGCACTTTTGACATTGGGGACCTCAAGGCACCAAATCCTGATGGGTTACACTCTATCTTCTATAAACGGTTCTGGCCAATGTTAGGTGATGATTTGACTGCAGAAGTTCTTGTTGCTCTTAACTCTAGAAGCATTCCTGAAGGGTGGAATGACACCACTATTGTTATGATCCCTAAGGTTAAAACTCCTGAGAAGGTTGTATACTTCAGGCCAATTAGCTTATGTAATGTGGTCTACAAGTTAATCTCAAATGCTTGATGCCTGTCTTAAGCTTATTCTATCGGATGTTAATTAGTCCTACATAGAGTGCCTTTTTGCCCGGGGGGCTTATTACAGATAATGTGTTAGTTGCATATGAAAGCTTCCATGCTATGAAAATTAAAGGTGTGGGTAAAGAGGGCTTCTGTGTGGTTAAGTTGGATATGCATAAAACCTATGATGGAGTGGAATGGGTATTTCTGGAAAATATTTTGTTAAAGTTGGGCTTTCATGCCAGTTGGCTGGACATGGTCATGCAATGTGTGACTTCTGTGCAATATCGCATCCGCCTAAATTCTGAAGTAACTGGGAGCTTTAAACCAAGACAGGGTGATCCACTATCACCGTACTTGTTTCTTTTTATGCACTGAAGGTCTCACAACTCTATTGAATCATGTTAAAGAAACAAGTTTGTTGGAAGAAGTCAGAGTTTGCAGAGAGGCACCCACTATTACAAACTTGCTAGTCGTAGATGACTCTTTGATTCTCATGAAGGCAAATTCAAATAATGCTAATACTTTGATAAATATATGGGCACAAAACTGTGAACCCTTGGGTTACATGATGAGTGCTGACAAATCTAGTATTTTTCTCAGCCCATGCACGGATGTTGGGGTGAGGGTGCAAGTTTGCAACATCCTACATACCATGACTGAAGCTCTTAATGATAAATATCTTGGCCTACCAGCACACGTGGGTTTGGATAAAACTTATACTTTTCAGCATTTGATTGATCACGTATGGCAAAGATTGATGGCTGGAAAGAGAGACAACTCTCAACAGGTGGGAAAGAAGTGCTCCTTAAAGAAGTTGCTCGATCTATACCATCATATGCAATGTTAGTCTTTAAAATTCCCAAAAAAACTTGCAAGGGTATACCTGACATGGTGTTGCGTTATTGGTGGGGAGATGGTGATGTTTATAGGAGAACTCATTGGTTTGCATGGTGAAAAATGTGTGTACCAAAACAACAAGCAGGTGTGTGTTTTAGAGATATCCATTGTTTCAATCTTGCTCTTTTGGCTAAACAGGCTCGGAGGCTTACTGAGAACCCAGACTCCATGTGTGCACGTACTTTGACATCGAAGTATTTTTTCAAATGGTGATCTATTTGTCGGTGTCTAAGAACCGGACATTGTGTTGTTAGCTACAACACTTCGAGAGTTCGACTAGGGACTAAACGCATCTATCTTCCTAGGTCATGATCGATCAAGGAAGGAAGACTAGAAGGTAGAACACACAGAAAGTACACAGGTTAAGTACACAGGTTTAGGCCACCTTGTTGGTGTAATACCCAACTCCTGCATTTGCTCTTTATTTCATATGCAATATGGCTACAGTGTGTAACTTGTGTTGTGAATGAATCTGACCCCTTCTCAGGTCCTTGCTTGCCCATATTTATACTACTCTTGCC